TTAAGAAACACATGTAAAAGGGTTTAAAGAATATAGAAGGTGAATTGTTTTTGATAGAGATGATGTTGGCACCGTGTGCTTTTACCTGCTTCTCCCCCCCAGGTGTGAAGGTATTTGAAGGTATGTGCAGGTATTTGAAATTTGCTCCCAGACCTGAGATTGCTGCTATTTACTTTTCTGGGAAAGGCAAAGTGAGATAATCCTTGGATAAATCTAATTGAAACTTTCCTCACCTGCTTGCAGTAGCTTTACTGTCTCTGTGATCTTCGCTAGCAGAGTCAATAATTTGTTTGAATAAGTTTTCCATCTAATCATTAACACACTTAAAGCCTATAATGAGCTCTGTATACATGCAAATGTATCTTTTAAAAGTGCTTCTGTAGATTTAAGGGAATTGTTTCCTTATAAAACGGAAATCTGAGCTTTTTCTCACATGAATGCTGCAGTCCTTAGGAAGGGATGGATCGACAGCAACTTTCTAAGTTTGTTTAATTTTACATTACATTTGTCCTTACATACTGTGTTTGGGATATTTTTAAAGAAAACAAAAAGCACTTTTAACCCTGTATCAAATCAAATGCCTTAGAATAATTTCCTCAACCCCTCTCATCGTCTTATAGTAGTCAGTGAATGAATGGTTTCAATTCAGGAGCGAAAGGCTTTTATAAACAGGTTTTTTTCAAATTTATCAGGCACTGCTGAACTCCCATTGTATTGATATAATGATACTTCAAGAAAAATAAATTCATGACTTCAACAATGTAAATAAAGAGAAAGGTATTAAGATTAAAATGGGTGCCATTCACGCTCTGTACAACAGCTCGGAGGACTCTAGCAGAAGAGTAACCAGCTCAGTGAAAAATCAGAAACTGTGATTGCTGTTTAACACTGCAGCTTTTCACAGTAGCTCAGCACAAAGTTATTTAGCACAGGTGTTTCTGTAAGTCTGATACATTGGGAAAATTCGCAAGGTTCTCCATCTCTTTTGCTCCGTGTCGGCTGTGAAGTTGGTCCCGCGACGCAGTCAACGGGTTTTAAGTAGGAAATAGAGCGGATAGGCAAATGAGCAAGTTCAAACATAGGAACTGATCTAGATTCATTTTCTTGGTTGCTAATTTTTGTAACGCATGACAGTAGTGAGGTGAATGACCTGTCATCGAGCAAAAGCAGTGAAAAATGGGAATGAGTTCTTCAGATTTAAGCGTGAAACTGAGATCCTCTTCTATCCTTCGATAAAAGCAGCTTTCAAATATAATATGGCTATCTGCTTTTTCTTTGTTAAATAAGAGTTTTGATAAACATTCACCTTTTTTGGTATTTCTCACTAATTTATTTAGATATGGTGTATCTCTGTGCTTTACACAACGTTTCAGCCTATGTGTATTTGCATTTCAATAAGAGATGAAGTGGTATAATTGAATTTCTAAACACCTAAAACACTCAGCAATTTTTTTTCCTTTTTACTTTAATTCTCAAGTTCTGGCAGTATCTAATTTATGGTTTAATTCTTTGTAAGGTCATCTTCTAAGTGAGTGACTTCTAGTTAATCTTAGATATTATGAGCTTGGCTGTGATAAAGAATCAGTTCATCTGTTCTCAGAAATAAAGGATTGAGTTATGGGGATTGCTGCTAATTGAAGACCTTGAGTTTAGCTGAAAACTGGGTATAATTTCATACATTCCTTTTCAAGCTGACCTGGCTGTGTTTCAATAAGTATGACCAAAGGTAAAAAAAAAGGAAAAAATCAAAACCCATCATACTTAATTATTTGATACTGTGTTCTTCAAGTAGGTTGGGGTGGTGGGTTTTTTGTTGTTGTTTTGGTTTTTGTGTTTTTTTTCCCCCATCTAATTCCTTCATAATATATTCTATTCTCTTAGTTAGGCTAGTAGGTAGAGCTTTCTTTTGCTCTTAGGCTTATAAGTGATAGCTAACTTTGTTGCTTGTGGTTCTGCTGTTAATTTACATGCAGCTCTTACTGTCGCTAACATATCTTTTGTTCCCTGAAATATTCACTCTGTGAATAAATATAACTTTTCTGCTATTTTTGCTCTGACTGATTTGCTCATTTCAGTCTTGTGACTGAAAGCAGTGTAAGTACTCATATTCTGAAAGTTGCACATTGCTTAATGAAGTACCTTGCTGAATCAGGGCTACCATGTTCCGGCAGATGAAAGAAAAGCACATAAGAAGCTGTACTGCCAGGTTCTGCTTTGAATGTTTTTCCTTTAATCAAATTTTAGACTTATTAGCATAGCAGATCATGGTTTTGCAAAACAAACAAAAGCTTCTAGTCTTATTCTTGAAAGTGTTGGGAAATGATAATGTAATTGGTTCTGTTTATAGTTCAAATTCACTTATATGTCTCCGCTCATAGACATGAGTAATAGAGAGACAGTCAGCTCTTCCAGCTCTGGTCTAATGAGTAAGTGCCCCAAATCATTGGGAAGTAACATCTCAGTTTCCTTTGTAAGGCTCAAGAATCTGATAAAGTTCTTAATTATTTTAGTTGCAGGGGAACGGTGCAAGGATTAGGTCATGGGTGGGATTGTAATACCCAGTAATTTAACGCTTTCAGAAACTGAAGTCTGAAATTCTAGTTTCCTTAAGACTTTCCATTTTGTCTCATGGTTTAAAGTGTATGTTGGCAATTGGATGTCGCTTTGGAGTTGTCATGTGTCGCTGAGTTTGATGAGAGTGGTAGTGTACCTGGTATCTCTAACAACATGGTGGGAAGGGCAAGGAACGTGTGGGTCAGGGGTCTCTGGGGAGATGCTCCGGTAACAGCTCTTCTGTATCTGCAGTTTGGGTTGTTGGATAAGCACGAGTCTCCTGGCACATCCACAGTTTGAATTAATATACAGTGATGACATCTTTGGACAAGGAGGTCATAATGCATTTTAAAACACTATTTATTTTCCTGTCATGTGTACTGCACATTTATTAGTGACAAGTGGAGCAACAATCACGGTGTTGCAGGGCTCCAGATAAATATGGTCTTATGATTATGGTATGGAGGACTCAAACCCCAAATACCCAGCCATTTCTGTGCCTGATAATTTTGCATATTTTTAGCTTCTCTTATATTTAGATCCCTAAGTTCCTCTAAGAGCTGTTACCCCAAACCTGCATTCGCCTATACTGCATGATCCCAAAGCTTACAATAGAAAAGGATATCAGGCTTTCAGACGCAGCATATTTAGAAAAGAGGGAGAGAGTCTGCCAAATTCCCAAAAACCACTTCCCAATTCCCATCACGAATAGCAGGAAATTACTTGTTATCAGTGGGTAATTCAACCACAAACGTTATTGATTATCCAACCTCAATCTTTACAGTCTTGATGGCCAAATATTTTGCAATCATTCTCTCTATTTAAAACTAGAAGATGTGATTTTTATTTTGGAAAAATGGAGTTTTTCAATTTTTCTGCATGCCACATCACATTGTGGCGCACCCTTCCAGATCATCCAGTATGATAGCCAGAAGCTTGACTGACAGATGTCAAAGTGTACATCATATTCCTATACATGGGAAAAGTCTACATTATTAAAAAAATTTTAAAAATCAGATCCTTGTAAAAACTATACATGTTTAAAAAATAATTTATTTGTTTTTAATGTTTGGTATTTGATATATCCCAGTGTATAGCAGAAACTCAAGGATCTAGAGAGGAGGTACATTTTTCTTATCTTTTGTTTCTAATTTTTCTGTATTTCTTAAAATACAACACACTACAGAACCAATCAAAGTACCTTGTCTTTTTTGTGAGCTACATAGTCAAATATTTCGGTAGTTTTTCACCCAATTAACACTAGCTGACTAAGTTCAGTCAATGTGAGAATTTCATTGAGTTCTGAGCTATATTCTACTTTTCTTAGAAAAGCTCCCCTTAGACACCTATTGTGAAAAGATAATTTGATATTTTTGTTCTGTGGTATTTTAAAATAACATTTTGAGTAACCTTCTGTCATTACTACACTACTATGTGGAGTAGCTGGTAAATTTAAATGACAGTGCATTTCCAGTGCTTTCACTGTAATTCCAAAATGTCTAAACAAAAATCCCAGGATCCTCCAACACTTCAAAACTGGTTTGAATCTATCATGAGAATTTGGAGACATACAAAATCCATTTTTTTTTCAGAATACAAGAATTTCTAATTTCAAAAATTAGAAGGTATTCATTGAATGAACCATTGTCTCCATAGTATCTATATTGTGATGCTGCTTATTATTATAAAAAACTTCATCCCTAAATGAAAACACACCACAACTGTGTAAGAAAAGTTCATAATGTATTAGCTTTTTATGAACTCTATTTGAAATATCCATATTCTTCACTACTTACTTGTTCTGTATGTATGTTATCCCCTGTGAAATTTTTTGAACAAGGTTGTGGCTCCTTAGAAATGAAAGTTCAGCTAGGTGACAAAACCCATTCATCATTGTCCTAAATCTCAAGAGCATCATTTTTATTAAAACACTAAATAGTTTTTTAATGGAAATATTTTCAGCTGCTGTAGTTGGAAATGTTTGTTTTCTTAAATGGGCATAATAGCCTAATTCAAAACATTTTTAGTCCTGTTTAGCTTTCTCTAATATTTACCTACAAATAAAGATGGAAAGAGGAAAACCAAAGATGTTACGCATTGTTTGCTCCCTGCATGCAAGGAAAGATGATAACCATTATATTTTTCCTGCCTGCAACACTTAGGAACTTGACACAGCTGGCAGAGTATATGTTCAGATCATGGACCAACTTTGATGTTTTACATTGTTGTTAAACAATAGCTGGCATGGTCATGTAGCAGCAGGATATTACACTTACCGTTCAGTAGACCTGTTTTTATAGAAAGTGACCTCCTGCCTCCTTGCCCCAGGCCACAAACTCCTCTGCTGCAGAGATGGTGTTTTGGATCTCTAGCAGTAGGAGGATTCTTGTGTTCTTGTGTTGGCTTTCGGCAAGTTAATAAAATAATGTAAACAGCTATTTTGGAAAATGACCACATGTACTACAGGCTCAGTACAGAGTCATATTCTGAGCCCCACACACACACACACAAAAAATCTGTATGAAAATAAAATATAACAATGAAAATTCCCATTCAGTAGTGCTGTTTCATCTCTAAGAGATGCTTTATTCAACAACGGGTATCAATCCCCACAAGTAACATCTGCTATCAGAGGATTTGCAGGTACACCTTTGTTCACTGCTAACTGAATTTGTGTCAGTATTGTAATTCAGCAGATTTCTGCTTTTCACTCAAACCAGGATTAGCATTGACTTGGGCTGGAGGGCATTCAAGCTGCTGTTCTTCTTTTAGCTATATTTCTGTGTAAACATCTAATTGTTTCAAAAAGTGATGTACAGTATGCAAAAAACCTGAATCCAATGCAAATAAGTCTGTGCAGCTCTAAAGTTAACAGGTGTTCTCATTAGTGTAAGTAGACAAGGAACAATTCTTGAATGTTTTATAAACACTTATAATCATGGCCAAATACGTTACTATAAGTATAAAGATACTTATAGCAGCATCTCTTTTTTCCTTATCGTGCAATCTCAGCACTTATTAATCGGAGAAGTGTCAGTAAATGAAATACTAAAAGCCAGAACCGGCTTCTGCCTGCAAATAATGTAGCTGTAAAATGCTCTGTTACTGATGAATAAATTTCTGGCTAAAAGAAGAGTCAACGGAATGAAATCTTTACACATAGCACATATATATTTTAAACATATATCTTTGCTTGCACTGAAAGGAGAGCATTCATTCTCCCTTTGATATTTTTTTTTTTGTTTTGTTACAAGGACTTATCATGTTGAGTCTCACTCACATATATCATAAAGTGTTATAACATGCATATGAAATTGGACAGGAGGACCATTCATCACTAGGTATTGTCCAGCTGGTAAAACTAAGAAAGACAGAACTTCTCTAAGCAACCATTGCCAATATCTCAGTGTGTGGCTGTGTAATATATGGCTTCAGATTGCAAAGGCAATAACAGTAAAATATTACCCCAAGGAGAAAAGTAGCTTGCAGTAGGTATTCATACATTGCCTTTAGTCTTCATCTGTGGACGAAATGTGCAATTGCCTATTCCCCCACTTCCCGCTATGCACAGACACCACTGAGTTGTGTCTTAATTATTATCTCTTGCTTCTCTCTTCTGAGCTAGTTTTGGGGGTATTTCTTTCTCACTTCCCAAGTCTGGTGAGTTCCATCTCCCCTGAATTTGGCTTAATTCAGGAGTCCATCCAACCCACTCCCATGGCAAGGGCAGTGCATCCATGGGGCTGGAGAGGAAGTTAGTACGGGCAGGGAGTACATGGGTGGCTGCACACCGGTGTCTGACAGCCATGATGGTCATCTCCTGCTTGTCTTAGATCTTCCTTTTATGCTCTTTGCTCTCTGAAGGAAAAGCTTGTTTTTCAGGGACCAATCCAACTTGTCCAACTGTGAGTCCAACTCACATAAGGCGTTTCAGCAGGAAATACTTGTCCTGGTATGTTCCTTGGTTTTTTAGAAGAAAGTTCTTGTGCTTCTTTGCCTTCCCCTTTGATTAAAGAGAATGTGCTCTCTTTTCACACATCTCCAACAGAAGGAAGAAATAAGACCTGGATGGGTGGGTGAAAAAGAGAGAATGACAGGCTGTTTCTTGAAATCAGTGAAAACATCCCAGGACCTGTGGCAGAACACTCGACCTTTTCCCCTCCAGGGAGGCTCTGTGGAATCTCCACCCTGGGCTCCTCTTCAAATCTAAGGAGGAGTTTAGGTCTCTCAGGGCCTAATCAGCTTTAGTCGTGACCTCCTGTTTGTTCAGTATCTTCCTTACAAATGATATAAATCAGCTCTTCTGCAACTGAGATCCTTCACCACCAGAAAGGAAAGGAAAATATTTGCCTTATAATGCAAAGAGAAGACCTGATTCTCCCCTTGGTAGTGCCAATGTAATTCAATAGAAACTCATATATGCTATGAGTTCGTTGCATAGCAGAAGGGGAACATTAGGCTTAAAGATTATTTTTTTCTTCTTAACAGTCCTACAGCTCCTTAGTTTATGACTCATTTATGTTGAAGGACTCAGTCCTAGGGATTTACCAGGAAAAAAGTCTTATTTGTTCATCACAGGTACAATACAGTTTCATTTAAAAATTTGTTCTTTCTTGGAAATTTGACCCAGACTTCAGACTGCTGAATCCACTTCAGTGCCACTGATGTGTATACCCTAAATACCAGGTTAATTTCATCAAAAAGCAACTTGTGTACATGAGCAGGTTGCTTTGATATGGTGACCCCACAAAGGCCCCCAGAGAATGGATGTGCAAATCAGTCATAGAGCAAGGCAACACATTTGAAGATATACCTTTTAAACATCTGACAGCAAGTGGTCTTACAACTGCTAATATTGCATAAGTTGTGAAAACAGAAGATGGGTTTTTGGCCTTTTTGCAGTGCTTGGTTTTCACGGTAATTTTTACAGAGTCAGAAGAAACAGGGTAATTATAACATAAGGTTCAACATCTTTAGATATGTAGAACATTTTCTGTTGCTTTAAACAAATATTCCCAAAGAAAGTATAAAACATTTTTCTGACTTGCAAAGTTTTTGCAGTCTATCTTTTAAATTACTTAAATAAAGGGAGCTTTACTACTCCCAAAAGCTGAGAATATAACACCCGCCATGCATATTAGCTTGATCTTTTTGACAGACCAGAAAAGTGTTTGTGTGTGCCAATTAAAACAAAAATGGATCCCCAGTGGCTTGTTCCTCACACAACTTCTGAAGACTGCTATCATTGTATGCTGGGGTAACCCTGGATAAGGCGGCTATCCAAAGTAAACAAACTTTTCAAAACTTTCATGACAGATGGGGGTTACAAATGCATTTTAATAAGAGAGTTGCCAAAGCAACTTTTTTGCAATCAGCATATATTTACTTAACATCTAGCAACATTGGGAACACAAGGCAGATACTTTCTCACAAATTTTTTTAACAAATATCATTTTTTTTGAAAGATTGGTTGAAGACCTTTTCTTTCAAGCTGATATTTCCCCATCACTTCAATGTTAACTTTGCTCGACATCCAAAGGACTGCTAGATTGGTAAAGCCAGACTGTAATATGAGACAGACAATCTGCTTGATAATGAAATTTCTTTGGTAGTCATAAACATCTTACAGTCCTTTAAGTAATTTAACTATCAGCATAACCATGACTACCCCTGTTTGATAGGCTGAATCACATAATGGATACGTGATGCAGTATGGATATAATGCAGCTCAATACTGATCCATTTGTTTTCTTTTATTTGCGTTTCTTGAATATTAGCCTCTCAGCTCACTATGGTACAGCACAGAGAGATATTTTATTTATCCTTTCTGCTGCTCACTCATTCAGCATAAACACGGCCAAGAGACTGGATTATCTGTGAGAAAGAATTTAAGATCAACTTCCAGAAATGCAGTTGGACTTTTGACATATTTTTAAAAACTTACATATTTCTGTCCCTGTTTAATTCAAATCCAGTTAATTAAACCACTAAGGAGCATAGTGTCTCCCAACTTTAATTAATTCCACTTCTACTGTGGGTGTGGATACACGAGTATCTATGTTTTGTCTATTTATTCTCAAGCTACATTATATTCTAATGATATTTTTTTCTTTTTTGTAAGACTATTTAGGAAGAGAGAGAAAATTCCGACTCTTCTTTCTTCACACCCCACACTTCCCCCTTGATTCTTTTTGACTTTCTTCCCACCTTTCCTTTCCCAGCCCTGCTGACTGCCATGCAGATGGGGAGTGGTGTGTCCTCTGTTACGTGGGCTGGGTGGCTAGATCCCAGCTTGCAAAAGTATCTCTGGAAAATAAAGGGGAAAAGCCCAGGTTGCTCTTCGTTACAGGTGATCAGGATTATTAGCATTATTAGGGAAAAAACATCCTTGTGAGAGAGCAAGGTGAGATGAAGGGAGCAGTAGGATGGAGGAAGAGTTAGTTGGTGTTCCCTGGAGATATTATAGACATGTAGATGTGGCACTTAGGGACATGGTTTAGTGGTGAACTTGGCAGTCTTGGACTCAGTCTTAAACGTCTTTTCCAACCGAAATGATTCTATTCTATTCTTTTCTGTTCAAAGCTTTTGAGCTAGAAATGCTCCAGCGACTCACATTTCCTTTTTTCCTACACATATCAAGGGCAGCAATCCCAATGCACAGTGCAACAAGAGGAACACATTTTATTGAATTTCTGCACGCAGAGGTAACTGTCAATCAAAGTTTAAATCACTTAGTGTTCACCACAAGTTGTGGAAGTCCCAGGTGACATCAAAATTTCAGTTTTCTGCACTGGATGCTGCACTGGATTAGCATCTGGTGGGTTTTCCATGGTCCAGAAGCGTCTAATAATCCAAACCTGAACCATGGATATAGGTTATATGAAGTTTTACCCCAGTAGTCCAGCATTTTTTTCGGATGCCCCACATTGAGACGCAGTTGAACAATGGCTTGTTTCAGCTTTTGGCTGCAAAAAAATGTGTGGTGGCTTCTTGGTGGCCATACATGAACTATATATGAGCCATACACTTCCTGAGCTGCTCACTCTGTTCCTTTTTGCTGCAGGGAAGAGACCGTGAAGGGGGTTTTTGCTGCATTTTTCCTTCCCCATAGGATTCTTCACTTCCTGTATTAAAGTTTGTTCTTGGCATTGTCTGAAAATAGTTAATCGCTGCAAATAATAGTTATAGCCACCAGAGATGCATAAGTACACTTTGAAGTCAGTGAATCAATAATACAGTTTTGTATTTTTGTTTTGCTGTGTGAATTTATTGCTCTTTTCCATATCTCCATAGAGTGCCTATCAGTAGGATTGCTAAAATTGCCTCCATCCCTGTACTGCAGCTAAAATAAATTTAAGGAACAAATGTATCTATAGAAATATATATTGGTAAAGAACTAGAGCGTTACCATGAAGGAGACTTATTTTTTTTCACAGCAATGCAGTAGTCCGCAGACCAAAGTTTGTAGGAAGCCTATGGATAGCAGCTGCTGGGTTTATCCCATGGCACTTTTCTGGCTTTTGTCTCCTGTTTTCCATTGGTGTAGGCATACTGTGAGAAGTAAGAATCTCTGAGATATGTTCTAGAAGGTGATCTGTAAAGGTTTGGAAGTCCTGGAGGAACACAGCCATGCATGGGACAATAGCATGTCCCAGAGCACAACCCAGCACAGGGAAAATAGAGGATTTGTAGGATTTTTAAGAACTGCTGATCCTGGGTAGGTTCAAAGGTATATTTATGCATTACAAAATGGCAATCGTATTAATTAGATACACTGTCCCACATTTCCTGGAGCTATATAGGCATTTTTATGTTTAATAACATAGGATCTTGTTGAACACAACCTTGGTACATCATTATGGTGACATGCAAAGGAAGCTCACCCCTCCATTTGCAGCTTTATAAGGTGACAAGAGAAATCCTTAATAAGGCACAAGTAGGATATCATAAAAAGTGTTTCACACCTGCCTCCCCCCCTCTTCCCACACTTTGTTGGCAGCCCAGCAGTGTATTGAATTTAACACATATTTACCTGCGGTGAGCCGATATTTTCAGAGGATCAATGCCTAACAGCAGGACTGTGCTACAGTTCATTGTAAAACTACCATGTGAGCGGAATCAGTCGTTGAAGTGATTTTTCTAAAGGTACTACAACAAGAAAGAGAGAATCCAGGCATCCTGGCTCTGCTATAAGCAACCTGAAGGGCACACCCTTTGCAAATTAGAAGGTTAATGTCAATTGTCATTCCTTGTGGGTGTTTATTGCCAGCAGCAGCATCATAATTCTGCCTGGTAAGGTAATGCTAATTCCAGCCTTTGTAAAAATGATGGCAAAGAGAGAGGGATTTCAGGAAATATTTAAATAAGTGAAGTACCTGGCACAATGGAGACTGGCAGCTCTATCTAGAGCACTTAATTTTCTTTTATTTGCTTTTTTTTTCAGATTTGTCTTTCATTTTTTTCTCCAGTCCCTCTCTTTATTTCAGCAGTGTCTGATACTGGGACAGTGTGTTAGCACGCCTTAATATTGAACAATTTATGCTTGTTGTTGGTTATACATCATTTAGGGCTGTGATCATAAATTGTTCAATCACAAGGTTTAGTCAAAGCTAGCATTCTTTACTGATGTCTTTTCCCAAGGGTGTTGAAAGTTCGATTGTTCAAAGTGCAAATATGGTTTAGCAATCCCTTCCAAGAACCATTTATCAGAAATCCTAAGGAGGTAATATATAAAAGTGGGATAGGAAACCTGCACATTAAATGGGATTTACCAGCCAAAGCCTTTGGAACTGCCTTCCTGTGAATGGCTGGAATGGAGCAGAACAAAGTCAATTACTGACTGTAATTAAGGAGTGGATGCATTTAAACTGTAGAGAGCAGTAGCAGTCTTCTTGAAACTGTCTAGTTACTCTGAAGATTAGTCTGAGGAAAGAAAGAAAAGGACTTGAACTACATCTTACAGAAAGTATATTGTAAATGATTTCTCTTCCCTCCATTCTATGATCTGTTTTTACAGATTTACTCATAAAACACTGATAATATATGATTATCAAAATAACACATTCAGACAAAGAAACTTTCAACATGCATCTTGCTTTGGTCTTGTTAGCAATGGAGTATCTCTTTTGCATATCATACAGTGCAAATGTTTATGCAGTGCTGAATGCTTGTATTTTAATAAAGCCTGAATTTACTGAACGGAAGACTGAACTGTGTTGTGTCCTTTTTAAGCCTTCAAAATACAGTAAATCTAATTATATATGTTGCTCTTACTTTGAAAGTTTTATTCCATTTTATAATTTTAATAATGATTTGTTTATACTGGGAGAGAGGCATTAGATTGAATTGTTGCCTGTGTTTAGTCTAATTCATATCTGCATGTATACATTAATAAATTGTGCTATAATAATACATTTTGAACCCAAACCTTGCAGTGAGCCAGGCACAGAGCTGGAGGTCAGGTCTTTCAATTGCTCACCTTAAGCTGAATTCCGACTTTTGTTTTTTTTTCCTTTTGATAAAGGGAACATGACTGTACAAGTAGTGATTAACATTATGGCTGTGGACTAATAATAGGAGTTCAAATTTCCCCAGTAAATAACTCCCCCATACGCACGGGGAACAATGGGGTGGCTGGAGGTTCGCTCCCGACGGGTGCAGACGGGACGGGATGAACATCTGCAGCGGAGCAGCCTCCTGAGCCCGCGCCAGGGGACCATTCCCACATTCTCCGCAGCACTCTCACAGGATGTCTCCGCTGGAGCTGTGCTGACGGGATTTTCCTTAATGCTGATGACTTTGGAAACCTTCCTTAAAGGCATTTCCTCAATAATGGGAGGGTTATAGAACAATTAATAAAACATTAAACCGTTTAGTCTTTTTTTTTTTACTGTTTTTCTCTGGTAGTATTTCAGGTTTAGGAAAGAGGCAGAGAATACCTGGGCTGGTGAAGATCTGTTGTTTCTTTTACATTTTAATAAAATCTTGACATGGGGCAGATGCAGTGAAACAGTAGCACTTCGGGTTGATGGATTTATATAAACAGGCTCTGCAGGTCTTAACGGCTTTGTTCTGCTTTTCCTCACGCTTTGGGCAGAGAGAAATCTCTGTTGTCCACTGAGTTCATCTGTTCCTCGAGAAACACCTGGAAAGGTTTTTGTCATTACCCCAAAATGAGTCCCAATGTGCAGGCTAAACCTGCATCTCCAAAACACTGAATCCCAAGGGAGCAATGCCCACGTGCGGATGCTACTGGGTTTTGCAGCAAGCAACTTTTAGCAACAAAAAAAACCCAAACAAATCCCTAAAAAGAAAAAAATCTTTAGTTTCAGAGCTGGCAGGAGCCGAGCTGCTTTGGAGCATGGGCTGGATGAGCTCCTGCCCCTTGTAAAACGTGGTGGAGATGTCAACCTCCATTCACTTGTCTGCAAACACGCAGAACTGCTGTGCCCTGGATCGTGCTCCGTATCAGCATAAACCTGGGGCAAAGCACTGCACGGGTTTGAGCCTCAGTTTTGCCATCTGTAAAATTGTTGTTTCAACCGTCTGTGTAGAACACCTGGAGATCTGCTCTGTTGGAAAGATATATATTAAAAAAGAAAAAGTGATGCATCATTATTATCATGGTGGTTTACAGAAGTTCAGACCAACAGAATATGCATATATATTTCCACCAAATATTGTTAGGCAGTGAAACAACATTATCAAGGGAATGAATATTCTTTTGATAAATATTCCCAGTGAGTGGGTCAAAAATGTAAATCGACTTCTATTCAGACAAACTGGGGATTTTTTTTCATGATAAATGGGCTCCTAATTACTCTGCTACAGCCATCTTTGATGGTAATTTTTCTTTATGTGAAAAAGAGTGACATTATTAATTTTACCCAAATGCTTGGAAGTGGACTCTGGAATCACAGGTATATAACAAATGCGTAAACTTGAGAATGGAGGTACCAGGTATAAAAATAATAATAATGTCAAAACAGAAATGGAAACTGAAAAGAACAGGAATTAATTCACCTATTGAATGTATTTCTTTTCAGGGTGTTTTGATTTACATTTGAAATGTGCCTTGTAACTCCGAGTTTCCTGGCGTTTCTTAACTTTCGTCTCATTCCTGTTATTTCTGCACTATTTGTGTTCAGTGGTTGCGTTGCTGAGACAATATCTCGTTTGTTGTGACATATTCAAAACAGTTTTCAGACAGAGGTTCAAAACTCCTCAGTAACTCAGCACCCCAGGAGATAAATCTTGGTAAAAAAGGAAAAGCATTTGGGTGTGTAGGAGAGAGAATAGGAGAAAATCATCTGTCCGGCGTGTGTGCTTTACTTACCTGTCTGTGTTCATATGCTCCCCAGATCACAACAGTGTCAGGAAATGAGTTCCTCCTCCAGTCGGATATCGACTTTCTCATATTGGATTGGTTCCATGCTATCAAAAATGCAATTGACAGATTGGTATGTATTTGTTTTGGCTGTTACCTTTATTAATTAAGATGTAGCAATTTCAACTTCATTTGCTTAGGCATCTCTACAGGTTTTAGGCAGTCAGCAGCTAGCTAGACATTCCTTTCTCTGAAGGATATAAAAATATGTATGCAAATCTACTAAAAAATGTCAGATAAACAAGGCTGTTGAACAAAAATGTCATTTGATTCTTGCCTCGAAATGGAACGCTACATTTATTTCTCTGAAATAACAAGGACATTGGTTTGCTGAGGGTTGTAAAAGCACACAAGCACTTAATAACTAATGAATTTTTGCATTTTCTGTTTATGCAGCCTACAGTATATAATCTTCAATAGAACTATTAATACATTTGAGCCTTTTATGAATTTTTGTATTACTTATTCACAAGAATAACACTAGCAAATAATATTCCTTTGTAACTGATTGCTGTTATTCTCCCAGGAAGGCTGGGGGTTTTCTACTAGAAGTAAGCAGGGCTGCATTTTATTAAAACAGTTTTTAATTACCAAACCAGATTCAGCTGTAGCTTTTTCTTTCTTTTTTGCCACTCTCAGTACAAATTCCAAATGTCTTCCTACTATCCCTGCCTGATCCAAACTCGTATTTTTTTTTAGAGGGCACGGACTCTCCTTTTTCAATGCAGATTCTGGTGAGAGAAAAATATCCCCATTTCTTACATTTTTCAGAGGTTTTTCTCCAATGGAATTGGCAGAGCGGGCAGAGGCAGCCTCTTTGAAAGGGTTAATCTGAACACGGCTACTGTTTCCTTAAAGAGCTACAAACATTATATTACCCTGAGGCTATAATCAGCCAAGGAAAGTTTGATCTGATGATGTATGTCTTCATATTGTGCATTTCATTGGGTGTGTGAGGATATTGATATCCCACTGAAGATTTTGGGGTGGAGCTTTCCATGGAGACTCAGAACATTTTTTTTTTTTCTTTTTGCATGTTATTCAGCTAAACATCTAATAGACTTGATTACATTTTTTTAGTGCAACTAAGATAATTTTGTGGCAGCAGCAGCTTTGAGCATGCAGCAAACCACAGCAGCAGTGGCTGCAAATGGTTGGGGTGGCGGAGGGCAGGGATTGTCCCGGCGAAGGTTTGCCTTTGCTGGTTGCGCAGGGCAGGATGCCACCATGAAACTCCCAGTGACCATTTCACACCTGTCAGTTCCTTCAGTTTTGCAACTTGGAATGAGTGTGCAAAGCCTTGAAGCTCTCCAGGCCATTGGGATAGCTAAATCTCACCTGACCACATGTCATGGGAAGAGATGTGTGATTAGCTAAAATATAATCTTTTTTTTTTTCTCTTTATTTTTCTGAAGAATCGGGACTAATTGCCACTTTGTATGCCAGTGAATTGCAAAACAGTTCCCCCCTCCTCTTTCCTAAGCTCAGACCAGCAGAATTCAACCCCAAATTCATAGGGATGTTTGAAACAATTGTGTTTGCAGGAATACTTACGGAAACTATCTAAAGCAGAAAGGCAATTTAAAAACCCTTCTTTGCAATCATTTGGAAGTAGCCTGCAATGTGGAAATAATTTTGGTCTCTAAAGCCTAAAGAAGTGGGCCTTTTGTTTTCCTCACTTAAATGGGAATTTATCTCAGAAATTAAGATCAGTCTGTCAGGGCCATAAAAGCTCTGCCATATGACAAATTTTGCATTACACTTTCCTTAAATTATATACTCACTGCATCATTTGCTGTGTGTGTCTGTTAGCTTCTGATTCTGTAATCTCTTGCTTCATTCTTATGAATAATAATTTTATTAAAAGCATACACATATATATACATATATATATTCTTTTCCCAGTCAAAAGAACGGAGTTGTACATCGAGAAATTTGGAGTTGAAACTCAGAAGATCTTCCAGCATCGAATTACTGAATAGCTTAGACACTGAATCCAAAGAATCAAAGCCTGATCACAGAAAATCTTTAAGTAAGGCTTTTTTTTACTGTTTTTTTCTTTTTTATTTTCTTTCCTTTTTAAATGACTATACCATTACAGGGTAAGATAATTTTTATTGCATACGGAACGTAAGGAAGATCACTGAGAATTTTAAAGCTGAATGTGTTCTGTGCTGATATACATAACTTGCGTTTAAGTAAAGACAGCTACTAGCTCCACACTTTTAAAGGGTGACATTCTCTCCTAAGCAAAATAAATTTGTTTAGCAGCAAAGACATTTATTTAAGCCATTTATTTTTAAAAATAAGCAACATGAGTCCTATGTTAATGGTCTGTTGCAGTTGCTTTGTTTCCATTTTAGTAAAATACCTCAAATTGCCAGAGTAATTTTGTCTGTTGTATATTTATACACTGAATTGCTGAAAGACCTGACATATCCTCTGTAGCTGACAATCAGTGATATATCTATAATTTTATAGAAGGTAAATTCCAGGGATCGAGGTTGATTTTTGTCAGTGTGATTAGAACAGAAAGTGATCTAAAACTAGGAGGGATGTGCTTTACTCCACTGAGTCTTTCCTTTTCCAGTTTTGCTGAGATGCTCATGATATTGTGGGCAGCAGACGCCGAAGCTAGTGGTGACCCTGAATCACTCACTCAGCATTTTTTTAATTTCACCCTCTCTCTTGAATCTGTTTTTTTTTCCCTCTTTGTTTGGCGGGATATTCACACACTGCTTCTAATGTAAGCACTGTGACAGCTTTAGATTCGCAGGCTGGTACAAGATACCTATAGGTACCAAAGTGCTGTGCAGGAATTTGCCTACACACGTTTCAGTGCAGGATCAAAGCCTTAGATGTTAAGAAAAGAGTTGCATCAAAAAGACCCAACATAGCTATTTTTATTTCTAATTATCCATACAATCATAAATACATGCACACGTGCATGTACACACACACACATACACAGCGATTCATTAAATAGTCTCTTTTTGACAACCAAAGCTGGTGGTTGTTGTTGTTGTTGTTTTCCTATTATCTTAGAGATTTTGGATTTTGTTTGAAAGGTTTTTCTTTCTGTTATAAAATATAAAGTAGCCTGAACGTAGCTTGTGAAAAATTGTTCCAATATCTTTGTACTGGGTATTACGTTGCATTTCTCAGAGGAAGAAAAATAAGACTGGTAAGTTTTGAGGCTCAGATTCTGCTCTTATTGTAGCTAATAGCAAAATGTCCATAAAACGTCTCAGCACTTGGGGATTTTTTATTTATTTATTTAGACTTCTCACATATCTTTAAATGATAATTTGTCAGACAAAACAGAAAAAGTGAATATGAGCAGTGACAGAGACTTAGTCTACGTTCTTTTCAAACCTTAGCGAATCCTGAATAACCCCTGTTTTGTTGCAAGGCTATTTAAACTATTAAAAATGTGAAAATATCTGCTGTGAAATCTCACTGAATCGAAGCTTGCATTTAAACACTCTAGATTGGATTGCTTCTAAAATATGTATTCAGAACTTTTTTTTGGCCCCTTGAGATCAAGCAATTATGTGGAATTAGAAAAATCATATTATTCACTTACTTATTAGTAGTCTAAGCACAAACTGTATTGTCAGTTTTCTGCCTTTGGCTTTCTGTGCCCTTAATGTTCACACAAGTATCGTAGCCAGAATTATCGGCAGCTAGAGCCAAAATTGCTTTAAAAAGGCATGAGAACTGGTAATGACACATTGTTAGCAGTTAACAGGTGGTCGTTTCATTGTCCAGTTTGACTGCAGAGCACAGAGAAGATATGTGCAATATCTGCAAGTGTGTTTATAAAGTTCTTACAAAGTTTAACAATTTTATAATTTTATAGTGCTCTTACATTATTGACTACTGCCAGTGTCAAATCCAAACAAAGGAGATTTTTTAAAGATAGCTTAAAACTCATCCAATTTAACACAGAAGATGAGCAACTAATGTTTTAGCAGGCTACCCCCACTCACCCCAATAATCTGTAATGAAATATTCAGACAGTTCAGACACATTTGTATTTACCTTCTCTAGATTTTAAGGGCTGCAAAAAATGTCCAGTTTTAGACTTGGTACTGCTGTGTCATCAGGGTGTTTTGGCAGCACAAGTATATAAAGGACAGGTATATTCTAACCAAAATATTCCAGTAATTTACTCTTTAATTTAAAACTGGGGGGACAACCCCTAGAGACTTAGTAGCAGGAATTTGATTTTTATGCTTAATCCTAATTGCTTCTGCTTACACTACAAGGACAAATGGTAATTCTCAGTTATGCTTTTTGAGTTGTAGACACTGATTTCATTGAAAATTGGTCTCAAACTGCCAGGCTCAATTTCCAAAGTTCAGAGTGTCCGTCTTCTTGGTCACGCAGCTTTTCAGTGACTTCTCATGCAGTTTGGATTCAGCTCATGTTCTAATTGAAGTTTTCTTGAGCTAAGAAGAAACCAAGGATGGCCTTGGGGAACATTACCAAAATATGTAAAACCGTGATCCTGCTCTCAAATACATGGAAAGAGATTATTCTTTATTTTATGATGCCAACTATTTCATTGCTTTAATTTATGCAGCTAATGCTGTGTCAGAAAGAACATGTTTTTCACCCTGGCAGCCTGTCCCATTAGAAGATGTATACATTTGGTGCAAGGAAACTGCCTTGAAGCAGCACTCCTTTTTATGCAAATAAGTGTCGCTCTAAACAGATAATTTTTAAAATTAGTGGCAGACATCATAATTCCCAAGTAATTTCATTATCGTTCTGACTGTAGCTTTTGGGTTTTTTTCTCCTAAGTTTACCAAAAACCCCTTATAATTAGTACCATTTATAATTGGGTGTGCCGGTAGGTGGTCTGCCACGTTAATTTTATACCACATGAAGCCAGGCACCTGGGTTAGACCGAAAGTAGAGATGCTGTCACGGCACATGGGATTTATTTGTGCCTTGCAAGGTTCCCAGAAATCTTTCAGGTCTCCAAAAACCAAGAGACCTTACTTTGTGTATGGATTACAGGAGTGGTCAGGACAGTCACACCTTAGGCAGTGAAGGCACTCTCTCCACTAAGCCCCAGCATTGTTTTTTTCTGTCCATGGTCACTTTGTGGTTTGCATTTTGGCCATCAACTGGGAATACTGTCACTCAGGAGTGACCTCTTGTGGAAAAGCCCAGGCTGGAGTTGCTATCGATTGTTGGAAGGGATCAATTCCCCTTCTACTCCCCCTTTTCTGGATAGAAACAAAAGGCTTCGCAGTAGGAAGAGTGCCCTTTGGCTACCGTATCAATCTAAGGGCTGCTCTTGTCAAAATGCACAATCAGAAGCTTGATAATGCAATCCATTCCCAAAGCACTATATTTCCAACCTGTTCTCCATCATTTCCTTATGGCGTCACATTTACTCAGTTCATCACATTCTTATTAATATTTTAGATTTCCTTGAAAGTGATGGAATTCTATTTTTATTACAAAAGCAACAAGAATAAATACTAATTGTTGTCAGTTATTTCCTTATGTAGTGGGAACAGTAATCTGTTCCTCAGCTTTAGGTTGCCAAAGCAAAATAATTAAATATTTTAGACATTTAAAAAATCTGTGATATTAGATAAATGCAATTTGATCTCCTTGTTTGCCACATAAAAGCTGGAACTGCCTGAATTGATAAGATTGAATTGCATTATTTTTATTGTTTCTACTCGCATATTTTTTTCTTATCTTCAAGAACACTTTACTTAAAACCTGGTGGTTAGTCATACAGCCCTGCGACAACAGATCCTGGGAAATCTCCATATTGGAATTCTAGCTTGGGGAGCCACAACTAGACCATCAAGATTAAAATATTTTTATATATATATCCACATGTATTTATGTATGCAAAAAGGAAAGTCTTGATGGGATGTGCAGTATTACTTCTGTTCCTGACCACTTTACTGTCTTAATAAAAGTAGTTGGGGATCCAGGCATCATTGTGCCAGACACAATGTGACATGGAAGTAAGACAATTTCAGCTCTCAGCCTGAATAAGGACAAGTTGCAACAGGTGGAAAAAGCAGACAAAAGCAGGGGGTGGAAGGAAAAGTTGACAGCAAAGCCGACATGTCATGCATATTAAACAGCAGGCTTGGGATTCCTTTCTGCTCTTCGTTAGGATCAGGGTCTCAGCCCCGGCACCCTGGCCACTGGCCAACTCAAATAATGATATTTTGCTTACCTAAATTCCTCTTGCATTTTCAACAGGGAACCATGGGCCTTTTTAGTCCCAAAGGGCAACACATTGCTCTGGGATGCCACAGCCCTCGCACACTTCCCTGGGGAACAGCCGCAGGGCAGTGTCCAGGAATATGCATCTTATTAATCAAGAAAGAATTAATAACCTCAATTGTCATTTTGATTTTCCTTCAGAGGTATTTGTGCAAAGTCATCTGGGCTATGAAATCTGTTTCAGTGTCTTAAAAGACAGTTTAACTCGGACACCCCATCCCTAGTATTTAGCCAAGGACTGTGTTTGTGCTTTGACATTGCCCAAAGTTGCTTTTCCAGTTTCACTCACTTTTCCTTACTTCAGAAGGCTGAATTTTGAAACCTGAAGCATGACACGTAAATATTCCTAAGTAATTACTAAAACATTCAGAATCATCTCTGAACGCAGTTTGTTAGATAATTAAGGCTGTACAATGTGTGTGGGGAAGAAAAGAACAGCAGCAGAAACCCATTTTGGTCTCTCAATGGAAGAAATAGAGAATTCAGTGGAGCTTTAACCCTTTCTGGCTCCATGTGGTGCTTGCTCCTTCCCTGGCTAAAGCTTCTTCTGAGGGCCTGCTCGAGGGTGTAAAATTTGGCGCACGCCCGGATATTTCTGTGGCCAGCAGTGCCTTGCTGAGGCTATTGTTTCTCTGCAAAGGGAAGGGACGGGTACAGGGCACAAACACACGTATTTGCACAGCTTCAGCTGCGTAATAGCAGGAGGAAAAAAAAAGCCAGAAACTTATTTTGTTGAAAGCATGGTTTAGAGTTCCTAGAAAA